ACAGTGTTTTGTGTCTCTCGTGGCACTTTTGTTAAATATTATGCTGTGAGATTCATTCTGTTGTTGGATGTAGTTGTGAATCATTTGTTCCCATTTTTCTGTAATATTTCAAATGAATATATCATTTAGGTTATTTATGGTTTTAAGTTCGTAAGACCTTTTAAAGTGATACAAAAGCATAGCATTGCTTTTGCTAAGTTAGAGACCTGAATTACAGGGATGTCCTGGGGTTTGTGTGGCCGAGATGAAGAAATCCTGTCTCTCGTCTCTAGATGCAGATGGTTTTATGCAGGGTTGTCAAACCATGCCTAACCCGTTGCCATCAAGTCGATTCCGATTCATAGCGATCCTATAGGACAGAGTAGAATTGCCCCATAGGGTTTCCAAGGAGCAGCTGGTGGATTCGAACTGCCAGCCCAAACCATGGCTAGTGGGCTCCCTGTGGCTTGCCACCTGTCTTTGTGTATAGTTGTATTGGAACCCAGCCATGCCCGTTCGTATACTTACTACCTGCGGTGACAGTAAGGCTGAGTAGTTGTGGCAGACTGTCTGGCATGCAAAGCCTACGGGATTTACTCTCTGGCCCTTGATATACATGCTGACTCCTGATTTAGTCTGTTGCTTTTCTACCCACTCTTCATCCCTGTGTGTTGTGCCAGTGATGGCGGAGGCTGTGTTGGGGAATGAGCTTGTTGCGGGGACCGTTCTCTCTGCTGTTGGGGTTGCTCTGATACCACCCTGGGATGACTGCTGCTTTGTGTCCTTCCTTTCAGAGCCTTGACACAGTCAGTCCCCACTGGGCTGTGCCGATCTGGCTCTCTGCTGTCTGGGGCCCAGACAGCACCCAAGCCCCCTCGCTCTGCTGGAAAGGGCACACCACCCTCCTGGGAGGAGGAAAGCGGGTGTACAGTAGCCCGGTGACCCTGCGCAAGTCACCTGTGCCTTCCTGCCCCGGCCATTGCCCTCCATAAAGAGGAGGCTGGGCCTCAGCATGCTTTCTGTCCCCCAGCATGCTTTCTGTCCCCAGGCCTTCTGAAATCCTGCTGAGTGGGGGCTTGGTTCATACTCTTACAACACAGGGCTCTCTTGAAAGGGGCCTGCCTTCCTTGCTCTGTGTCGGCTTGAGAGGGACGGCTCCTGTCTCGCCTGCTGGGCTTGTAGGGCCAGGGTGGATCTGGAGTTTGCACCCTCTGGCCTCCTTTGTGGCCCCACGTTCCTTGAATTTTTGGCATATCGAGTGGCCATGGCATTGCTGCTTTCTGAGCTCACCAGGCCTGGAGCCAGGATTTCCTGTTCTGAAGAGGGTGCCAGGACCGTGGGGTTTCCACGTGGCATGGTTTATAATGGCAGAGCTCTGTGGGAGGCATGTTGCAGCTACTCGTTTTACAGATGGGCAGTCTGAGGCCCAGGAGAGTGTGGTTGGGAGCTGAGCTGAGACTGACTGCCCCAGCTCCCCACCCACCTGCCCCATTCGCTCTCCATCATTCTTTCCTAGATAGATAGCTGCCGGCTAGTTGACTCTGCTCGTGGTGACCGCATGTGGGTCGGAGTAGAACTGTCCTCCATAGGGTTTTCAATGGCTGAGTTTTCGGAAGTAGATTGCCAGGACTTTCTTCTGAGGTGCCTCTGGTTGGACTCAAACCTCCAGTGTTTCTGTTAACAGCTGAGTGTGTTAACCGTTTACACCACCCAGGGACCCTCATCCTTTCCTAACTCCCTTTAAGACCCCTAGAAGGCCCCATTTTCCCTGAGCTCTGCTCAGTGTTATCTCCAGAAGCCCCTGGAAAGGAGGGGCTTGACTTAGGACATAGCCTGGTGCTGGGAGCTCTTGGGTGGTGGAGCGCAGAGCAGGGTGGAGGACTGTGAAGAGCAAGCGCACCAGGATCGGGGAACGGGGTGCAGAGAACACCTGTAGGCCCGCTGTGTCCTCAGTACAGTAGATGCTGTGGGGTCTCCCCCAGGGCCGCTCCGGGCCTCTGCTGTGCCTTCAGCCCAGGAGGCAGTGCTCTGGGCCCTGGGGCGAGTGCGTCACATGCGAGGTATTTTCTTCAGTTGTTGCACAGTCCTCTGACCCAGAGAGTGTCATCCCCTCTGCAGAGAACAGCCTAGCTTCAGAGGACTTCCCGGACCTGCATGTACAAGGTCCTGTTTCTAGGACCTGCAACGTGGAGATCAGACCCAGGCCCTGCCACCGGCAGTGTCCCCCTCCTGGGCATTGTTCTCCATGCCGGTCATGTCTGAGGCTCCTGAGGGCCGCCGGCCTGGAGAAGGGGCTCTGTGAGTGTCAGCTGGAGTCGGCCGGGGCTTGTGCAAGAACCAGGGGCCAGCGGGCGAGCCTGAAAATGGGGCTTTGCTGCCGGTGGTTCGCCTGGAGTTTGCTGAGGAAAGGCCTTGGGCCTGCAGGGGTTGCTCAGGCGCCTTGCACACACTTCTTTGCAGTCTTGCAAGGGGTCAGGGCCACCATATGTGGGTGATGAGAGGCTGCCTGTCCACTTGCTGTTGGAACTTCCCTCCAGTCCAGCGGGGCCTAGATCCTGCTTGGGTAAAGTGCCACAGGCTTGCTCGGGTGTGAGCAGAGTTACTGTGTGGCATCCCAGGGTAGGGCTGGACCAGCCCAGAGTGCCTCCAGAAGGCTGCTTTCTTCGGGCCTTTGCCTGCAGTGGAAATGTGACCACTAAGGGGTCCCTGCTGGAGCACCCTGTCCACCTGTTCTGTCCTCGCCATCTGCAGATGTGGGCCTCTGGGCCCCTGGGTGAGGGAGAGCTCAGGCTACTGCTTCCCCTCTCTGGCCAGGTGGCTGCCCTGTGCACAGTGAGGTAGCCTGTGGTCAGGAGGGTCACATAGCTGGACTTGATTCTGAGTCAGCCCCAGCTAGCCGTACCACCTCAGGCAGATGCCCCATCGCTCCACAGCTGAGCTTCCCCTCTCATACCCTGGGGGTGGTAGGGCCAGGGTCGTGGGGGAGTGGACGTGTCTCATCAGGTGTATCAAGGGTGTGATTAACCCAGCGCCCAGCCCTTAGGGAAGGGTGGTGGCACTTTGCCATGATGATCAGGAAGCGCGTTTACCTGATGGTACAAGAAGACAGAAGCCTAGCCTCCCTGTGGGCTTAGCAGGAGGTTGGGCTCCTTCCCTGGGGAAAATCTGATTAGGTCATAGGAGGGTTCTCAGAGGCTGAAGACACAAAGCCTGAACCGCCACTCCCAGATGGGTGGTAGTCGGAGGCCGTCTGTCTCTGAGAGTTCTGTGGAAGGGTTCTGTTATCGATTGAGTTGTGTCCTCCCAAAATATGTACTGAAATCGTGGCCTCTATACCTGTAAAAAAGAAACCCTGGTATCGCAGTGGTTAAAGCACTGGGCTGCTAACCGAAAGGTCGGCAGTTTGAACCCACCGGCCGCTCCGCCGGAGAAAGATGTGGCAGTCTGCTTCCGTAAAGATTGCAGCCTTGGAAACCCTGTGGGGCAGTTCTGCTCTGTCCTACAGGGTCGCTGAGTCAGAATCCACTCCACAGCAGTGGTCTTCCTGTTGTTTAATACCTCTGAGTAGGGGCAGTGGCGGTTCATGGGGAGACCCAGGTTTGATTCCCAGCCAGTGCACCTCACACTTGGCTACCACCTGCTTGTCAGTGGAGGCTTGTGTATCATTATGATGCTGAACAGGTTTCAGTGGAGCGTCCAAACTAAAACAGACTAGGAAGAAAGGCCTGACGATTTGTTGCTAAAAATCAGCCAGTGAAAACCCTGTGGATCCCAATGGTCAGATCCACAGCCCATCATGGGGATGGTGGAGGACTGGGTGGTATTTGGCTCCATTGTACATGGGGTTACTGTCAGTTGGGGGCCAACTCGACAGCAGCTAACAGCAACATACCTGCAAATATGATCCTTCCTGGAAATAGGGTTTTGTGCTGTTGGCATACCCAAGTCGGACAGGTCCTGAACCTAATCACTTCTGAGTTACAAGAGAGCCAGAATGCACACAGACAGCCACGGGGGAGGAAAGATCGGCACAGCCAAGACGCTGACTGGACTTGCAGCCTCCAGAACTAAAGAAATGTCTGTTCTGTCAAGCCCCCACGGGTGGTGTCTGTGTTGTCAGAGCGCCAGGTGGCTGAGACTCCTTCAGGAGCAGGTGGGCTGGTGTGGGTCTGCCTCTCTGACGGCCGTCACGTGGGCACCCAGGCAGGCCGCGTCCCCCTCTGGTCCTCCCTTGGTGTCTTCGTCTCTAAAACAGATGTTGGGCCCCAGGGCCCCGTCCCTGGGCCCGTCTGTGGTGTAACATGTGAGCCCGAGTTCCTGTCTTCCTGGTGTGAGTTAAATTTAGTTCTTCCTTTAAGATCGAGTGGATGTGAACATGAGCCCTAGTGCCCTGCCGCTGTGAGTAGAACTGCCCTTGGCGGGAGGGAAGCCGGCTTCTGAGTCACCAAGTCAGCACCAGCGTCCATATGGGAAGAGGGGGCGGTGAAGAGGGTTGCAGGACGTGGGCAGAGTGGCGCCAGTAGCTTTGTGTTGGGGTCGGCCTGTTAGTGACCGATGAGATATGGAGACGAGGAGGCCCCTGCGGGGACCAGACTGGCGTAGGGTGCAGGAGGGACAGGGGACAGCAGTCAGGAAGAAAGCTGTAGTCAGACGCACGATGTGTTTTGCAGGTCAGACCAGCGGAGCGTCCTGAATGTGGGGATGGAGGGAGGGAAGGCATCGAGGATAAGGTCTAGGTTTTCTGTTGTGAACACAGACGAGGACAACGGAGGTGCCATTTCCTGAGAATGGGCCGAGTTGTGGAGGAGCTGGGTTGGGAGTTGGGAAACCAGGGTTCCATCTTGGGGCGTGTGAAGTTTGAAATGTCCTTAGATGTCTCGGGTGGACATGCCAGGGGTTCCACGCTGCCCCACCCTCCTGGACATGAGCTGGAGCACCCCCAACTCACAGTGTGGACTCTCTTCTAAAAAATGTGCTTGGGGCTGGTTTCTGACCCGATTTTCTTCTGTCCCCCCCGCCAGCTGGCTGGAGTTGTCTTCCTCGGAGTGGGACTGTGGGCATGGAGTGAAAAGGTAGGTGTCGCTGTGGCTACGACACTCACGTTCAGCCAGCTTCAGCTGCCCCCTCCTCCCAACTGTAATTAGTCTCTACATAGCCAATGCCCGTGATAGTTATGGAACTTAGAATCGAAAGTCCTGGGGCCCTAAGACCTCCTGACTCTTGCTCTGAGCCCTGGACTTCAGGGTCAGGCCAGCAGCTGAGCTGCTTGGGGTTTTGAGCTCCATGAAGAGGGAGAGTCTTCTCCCTCTTCACACAGCCCCAAGTCATCTTCCGGACCTCCTTGTGCCCTGAACGCAGTCCTGTTATTCCTGAAATTCTTGCCCTTGCCCACAGAAGCCCTGGAAGCGGAGAGAGAGCTCGTTCTGTCCCTTGGGGCCCTGTGGGCAGAAATGCTAGCCGCTGGAGCAGAGGCAGGATGTAAGCACCTGCGGGCCCCCTGCCCAGCCCTGGGAGGAGCAGAGACCAGGCAGGAAGGATGCGGGCAAGTGCTGGGGAGGTGATTCGACAGCGGAGCCTCCCTGCGCTCCCAGAAGTGGGGCAGAGCACTTAGGTCTGCGGCCTTTCCCGCAGTGACTTGGGAGCTGGAGAGGACTGCCTTCCAGTTCAGGTGTCTCCTGAGTGGCCTGTGAGCCCCTCAAGGGCAGGGGCCAGGGTGTGTGTCTCTCCGTCCCAGTGACCTACAAGCCAGTGGCTGGCGGTGCCACCGTGTGGCCACCTCTAGGACTGCAGCTACCTGAGGCCGCTAGTCTCCCCTCCTTCCTCCTCCGAATCCTGTAAAACAGCTCTGTCCATTCTGCTAGCCACAGGGGAACTTCTGTATTTAAACGTGAATTAATTAAATCGTTTAGAGTTCAGTTTTTCAGCCCTGTTAGCCCACTGGGAGTGTGCTCATAGCCCAGTGGCTCCCATTTTGGGTAGTACAGACAGCGCGCGTCCTCATCACCACAGAAAGTTGTGTGAATGGCGCTGCTCTGGTCCGCCCCGGCTGGTGTGTCCTTCCCAGGAGCGTCCATGTTGAGGTCGTTTTCCTCTCAGCGTAGTCCACGAGTTGGCTGCAACACTGGGAGGCTAGCAAAGTCAGCTGCCCACATGGCCAGTGGCCAGGCTGCAGCCCCGGGGTGCCTTGTCCAGAGGCCCCAGGTGCCCTCCCGCTCCCCGACCCCCACCTGGCAGCAGTGCCCTGCAGGCTGCAAAGGAAGCCTGGGTCTGCAAGGGGAACTCGACACAGGTGGAGGACAGGATTGCTGCTGTGGGACGTGAGGGCCCAGGCAGGGCTGGGCAGGGGGCCTCCCAGGTGCGGGCAGAGCGGGCAGGGGCCACACTTGGGCCTGGCTTTCCGGGCAGGGTCAGAAGGCAGGCCCCTGTCCTCAGTCCCTGCTGCAGCCTGGCTGCCCTGCCTCTCTGCCTCTTTCAGGGCGTGCTGTCCGACCTCACCAAAGTGACGCAGCTGCATGGGATTGACCCTGTGGTGCTGGTGCTGGTGGTGGGCGTGGTGATGTTCACCCTGGGCTTCGCCGGCTGCGTGGGCGCCCTCCGTGAGAACATCTGTCTCCTCAAGTTTGTGAGTGGCCCCAGGCTTGGGGGGCAGCGCGGGGGGGCTCTGCTGGGCAGAAAGTGTCCGTTTGGCCAGGGGGGTGGCGGCCCATAACCCTGCGAAGTCCAGCAGTGGAGGAGGCAGCCAGCTGTACCCTCCTGCCTCCCCAGATGCCAGGGTTTCAGGGAGAGTCCAGCCGCAGGCCACCTCGTCCCAGGAGAGGTAGGGCCCCTTGGCCTTCAGCCACAGAGGAGGAGTCGGCTCTGCGGCAGCTCCCTCCCCTGGTTTTATTTCTAAAATAAAAGTTCTAAAGGAGTTGTTTGTCTGCTTCTCACCTTTGTCCTTCCTGGAAAAGATCAAACGATGTTGGGTGGTACAGTAGCATTAAGACATCATTTCTCTCCCCCAGGGTGTGTGTGGATCTGTTGAGTGTGCATGCAGAATCCTTGATTTCCTGGCAAAACTGCCTGTTGGCAAGAGTTTATATTTAGATGCAGGTTCATTTTGAAATGCACGAAGTTAAAATTAAACAGCACCCAGTGGGGAAAACATCACATTTTTTTTGTTGTATCTATTGGATCAAGTTTCCTCTTCCCTGGTCTTAATTTAACAAACAGAGCACGTGGCTGTTGCCTCACTTTTTTGTGTTAGCCTCGTGCTTCTCTGCAGAGAGAGAGAATATCTTGGAGGGCCTGTGTGGTTGTGGGTGCCTGTCCCCTCTTGGCTGGGTGGCAAAGGTGCTTCGTTCCCTGTGTGGCTGCTGATGGTGCTCTGAGCGTGCACAGGTCCTGGGGTGGACACAGAGTCTGCCCTGGTGGGGGACCTGTGGTCATGCAGCTGAGTCCCATACACACAGAGCAGCTCCCCAGTGGTATAGACAGCAATGTCAGGCAGCGCAGACGGTGCTGAGTGAGCCTCAGTTCTCCCCGTTCCCTTTGTGGGAGCTCAGGCGGTGCTGTCTGAGTGAGCCTCAGTTCTCCCCGTCCCCGTTCCCTTTGTGGGAGCTCAGGTGGTGCTGTCTGAGTGAGCCTCAGTTCTCCCCATCCCCGTTCCCTCTGTGGGAGCTCAG